CCAAGGCCGCAAAGTGACATAGCCATGCTGGGTTGCTGGTTCTTAGCTCCTAAATGCAGGGCTCTAGACTTGAGTCCCTCTGCAGGGACAGAGCTTATACTTAAGGCAAGGCGGTTCAGTGGAAAGCCCCGTATAAGGCTTGTTTAACTCTATAGAACTCTATAAGCCCTGTATAACTCTTCTTCCCTCTTCCAGACTCTCAAATATTCGTTTGGGGCTCTAGTGGGCCATATTCATAGTTACCTGGGAAACAGTCTATCTTTGGCTCTGTGGGGTAGGACCTACTTCTCCTACTCTATTACGAAAATAAACATCCAGGTTGTCATTAAAATATAATAAATATGTGTATAATATAAAATAAGGAATTATATGCGCAGCCTTAGAAAGCAAAGACATCTCATGGTTTTCTTCATGGATCATTTATCCTGTATAAGAGCTTTGCTTTTAATCAGCCCTGGCTGATTCCCTACTGACTGTGAAATTCAAGTCCCAGCCTTTGCCTGATGCCAGAGGCTCTTCCTCCAGAGGCCAGGGCCGCAGTGGCCACCAGGAGGCCTTATGGTGACGGGCCTCCGGGAGTCCTCTTGTCCCTGCCCACCTTCTGGAGCACAAGAGAACTATTGGCTGCTGCACTGATCTTCCAATGATGGGAGTGTTTCTTTTGGGGATGTTAGGGAAAGAATTCTCTAGTTCCTACCTCATTTTTTTTCTTCTCAAGAATGAAGTCAGAGTCCCGAGAGGCCAGTTCCCCTGCTTGCGTGTAGCCCCTTTGATTCAATGCTCAAGCAAAGCCATCAAGGCACACACATACACACACACACACACACACACACACACACATGCACACACAGAGAGCACTTTATGATTCAGCATTCTACTCACTCCTAGGTACATATCTTAGAGAAACGTGTGTATGTGAACAAGGGGATATGCACAGGCATGTCCACAGCAATCTTGTAATAGGAAAAAAAAGGAAACATCTAAACGTACGTCAGTAAGAGGATGGGATTCTGGCATCTCCATACGATGGAATGTTATGCAGCAGCAAATGCATGAATGAATGAGCCAGTGAACGAGTGAATGAATGAACTACAGCCACATGGGTCTGCATGGATCAAGCTCAAAATTTTAACGTGGGCGGGGGGCAGCGCCTGGATGGCTCAGTCGGTTAAGCATCCGACTCCTGATTTTGGCCCAGGTTATGATCTTGCGGCTCATGAGATGAAACCCCACGTCGGGCTCTGCATTAACAGTGCGAAGGCCGCCTGGGAGTCTCTCTCTCCCTCTCTGTCTCTCTGCTCCTCCCTTGCTCACTCTTTTTCTCTCTCTCAAAATAAGTAAATAAAAACCAAAACAAAACTTAAAACGATTTGGATGGGGGGCAATAGCGGGATGCGATTTAAACAAAGTTTAAAACACGCAAACACACTCTGACGCTGCTCAGGGTTTACCTACACGCGTAGCGAAAGGATGAAGAAATGCTTGGGGGGAGAAACATGGCGGTCTCCTGAGTGAAGGACTTGAGAGGACTTTGACTACCTTGGTCGAGTTTTATAAAACTCGGCAGCGGCTTATGAGTGTTTACCAGATTGTTTTTTGTGCATATAGGTCTAAAATGTTAAGTGAAAAGAAAGAAACAAGACACCAGGCACCTGACCTGGTTGGAAATTATTTATTTACCATTGAAAGGTCGGTGTTCCCCAATGTGACACCAGACGTATGACTACAACGTCTCATGCGTCTTTTTGTACTTCAGTTCATGACTGCGAAACAGACACACGCTTAGCACTGACAACAGCAAACACAGGCGGCAGAAACAAATCACGAAGACTAGGTCTGTCTTTGGGGGGGTCCTCGCCTCGATCTGGCTCGGGCTGGGACTACCTCCCTCCAGGACTCCTTTACACCCCAAGGAACTGCCCCCGGGGAGCCTCTCTTCCAACCCCACCCTCTCTATCCAGCGTCATATGTCACTTAACCCACACCCAGAGTCATATCTCAAATTGAAATGGACGGACACGCACAAGGACTCGAGCAATAGACACTCAGCAAATACACACTGATTTGATGTAAGAGGCAGAGTCACAGATGAACGCGGGCGGACTCCCATCGCCATCCAGGTCACCTTGGGGGCCACAGGCCGGTCTGCGATGGGTTCTTGCCTTATTTCCATCTCGCTCCATGCCCTTCTTCGAAAATGCTCCCTGGCCAAGCACAAGGTGTTCCTTTCAGAAATGATCGGCTGAAGTCACACGGGCCCAATTACTCTAATGGGGGTGGGGGGGGTTGAGTTGCACGTGTGTCTGCTACAAGGTACGCGGAGGCGAAGATCACCGAAGTCTGTCGATATGGTGGTCTGGGACCTCTGGGCGATTGAAAATGCACCAAGACGGAATTTTGTTGGAAAAGCACGGCCGTTACAGTCTCTTCTGTCACTAGGTACATGTACAGGTGGCTGGGATTTGTCATTAGGTGATGGTAGCACTTACATGTGAATGTTCAGGCCGACGGCTGAGGTGTCTGCTGCTTTTGCCATTGAGAACTCAGGACAGACGGACTTTTGTGCCACTCGCTGTGTCTCTTCCTGCCAACCCCCTATCCATCCTTCATTCATTAATTCACGCAACAGACACTCATCGGGGGCCCGTGAGCTAGCTTCATTCTGGGTCCTCGGAACACACAGGTGAAAAACCTCCCGCAAAAACCCATCTCGTTCTGCGCAGGCCTGCTCCATGAGGTGGTGGGTGACACTATGATGTGCTACGGTGGCGTCTGACTCTTACTGGGGCAGCCTTTGGATTGGATTCTGGAAAGCGCAACGCTTGAGGTACAAAGAACGGATGCCTCGTGATGGAACGACCAGAGGCAGAGTTGATCTTTCTGGCGTCCGAGGCCCTCTCCGGCCCACCTCAAACATCCTTCAGTGCGACTGTGAGGCAGGTGCATAGATTTATAAGGAAGTAGAACCCGTGTTTCCTGATTTTAAGTCTAGAATCCAGAGTGTTGTCCGTTGGAGTAGCGGATGTTGCCAAGAAGAGAATACTGGTCAGCTCGTGTAGGAAATGTTTTGTTTCCTTGTGGCTATGCCAACCCCAACAGGCAGACCAGGGCGTGAGGGGAGCCTCAACAACGTGTTAATAGGAAATCGCTAGCAAATGCTTTGCCTAAAAAGCACTTGGCAGGGGGGTGGTCCACCTTAATGAACAAGACCTCCAATTCTGAAAGCCTTTCCAATTAAACAGGGATTTGATATTTTTTTCTGTTTCTTCAGATGCTTTTCTACTTCTGCACGGGACGGGCAGATCGTGACAGAAGGTGATAAGGCCCCTGCTCAGATTCTCAGGGAGAGGCCAAGCATGGCGGGAAAGAAGCACGGCCCTTACCCATCTCGCCTCGGGGTCCCTTGTGGGTCATAGGACCGGGTGACATTTGAAAGCCCAGAGTTTGGATGTCCCGTAGCAGAGTTCAGATGCAGAATGCATGGTTCTGGAAGTGCCTGGGATGGTTCTGGCGCTTTCCAGTCATGGTCAGCTGCCATCTTGAAGCGTCAAGATGATCTGTGGGTGGCCTGAGCGTTTGTTTTTTTGGCCAGAGAATGCCGACGGCTTCGGAGCACGATTTCATCTACCACCTCATTCACAGATACAGAACTGCCATGTTGCTGGTCCTGTTTTACAGATGGCCAACCACGGAACCCAGGGATCCTGGTTCACGGGCAAATATCCCACCCCCTCGGCAAGACGCATCCTTTAACTGACGATGTGGACAGCTATTTGGAATAAGAAGGTAGGGATTTGAAACCCAGGCTGCTGGTTACTTACTGATTCAAGCGACAGGCCCTGAAAATTCAGGAAGGGAGGCACACTCTCAAAAAACTCTCTCCTCTTTCAAGTTACCTTCCTTCTCCACATCTACGGAGCTAAACATAATAGACTAAGTTAATATGTGCCCCCACCCCTCCCCACCCCCCCCGAATTCCTCCTGGAAGGGCTGACATGCTGAGAGATGCATCTGTCTCAGAGGGTCACTTGGGTGATGTCGGTGGATGTGACAACTAGTGCCTCGTGACGAACAGGCTCGTCACGGAAGATCTCCCCAAGTATAACGTGAACCGAGTTTGAGATAAAACGATGGGGAGTTATTGAACAAAAAGCACAGAATTCAGCCCCAGAACAGGATCTGAAGGGCACAGATGAAAATATTAAGCATTAAAATAGTCAAATGAAAGAAACGGACAGGCCTCCCACATTTCACACTGCCCGCTGAAATGTCCTGCACTGGAACTGGCTGCCCCTGGGGACTGTAGCCCCAACAAGGACTGCGAAAAACCTGTCCGGAATGCCGTAGAAGGGATTTCTCCAAATGCGGTGCTCCAACCTCGGCATCAAAACCCCTCGGTGCTGGTTAAAAATGCAGGTGCCTGGGTTTCGGCCGGGAAGATCGACTTGGAATGTCGACGGGTGGGCCCGGGGAATGTGCTGGTGATTCTTTACACACGAAGGTTTGAGAACTGCTGGGTTCCTGCCGCGACCGGGTCGGGGGCGTGATTTAATGCCGATTTCATCCCACCCCGACAATCCCGGATTCTCCGAGTTGATCCAGGATACTTTATTTCCTCCATCATTTTTGCAACGCCTCTTTTTAAAGAGCCACCTTCTGCACGCACGTTATTCCCCACCTTAAGCTCTCTCTGCATCCGGCCGGACCCCACCGGCCAAACCTGCCCGTGGGCTGTATCTGACAGGCATCTCTTCAACAGCACAGAGGAGCCAAACGCATTCCTCAGTGGGACCCAAATGTCCCGTGTCCACCCCCGGCCCTGCCTCGCTCATGTTTTAGAAATGAGAGTGTAAGAAGAGAGGGGCGGGGTCCTGGCCTTTGCAAACACATCTGTCCCCCGGGTGTCGGGATGAGGATGGGGCACAAAGAAGACGTCGCGGAGGACAGCGGGGCTGGAGGGGCGGGGCTGTGCCCGACAAGGGAGGAGCCCAGGCAGCTGGCTACAGACGCAGCTGGTGCCACATGGCGATCTGCCTCCGGGGGTTTTTGAGCATTTCCTCCCAGTGGTTGCGCTCGGAGCCCGAGGCGTGCAGGCCCAGGCTGCAGCGGCCAAGCGCACAGCTCTGCCCCTCCTCGTCCTGGCCCAGCACCTCCAGCTCCACACTGGAGGCCTGCAACAGGCCATCCGGCAGCTCGAACATGATCATCTCGTTCCACACGGGGTTGATCTTGTGCTTGGCCCGTTTGGTCTGCTTCTTCTTCAGCTTCTGAGCCTGGTGCTTTAAGGTGACCTTGACAGAGACATCTGGGGGAAAGAGAGAGACAGAAGGGTAAGCTGGTGGGGGGGGGGGGGGGGGGGGGGGGGGGGGGGTAGCGGGCCCAGGATGAGGCTCCCCCTCGGGGCTGGAGAGACGGGGTCTCCGGCTCAAGATGTGCATCGAGGCTCCCTCTGGGCACGCCCCGCTCTCACCGGGCCCTGCGCTCATTCAGTTGTTAAATGGCCCCCGTGTGGCACTAGACCGGGGGATACGGCAGAAGTTCCTGCCTCCACAGAACTTAGGCTGTGGTGTGGAAAGCACCCAATAGCATAGTACATCCAGGGTGGTCGTCTGGTGGCCCAGGCTTGGGTCAAGCTAGAACCACCACCTGCCCTGAGCCCTTCCACGCGTCTTCAGGTCCCACGTCAAACCGGGCCCAGGATAATGGCTCAGCTTGATTTTTAAACTCGGACTAGAAAAACTAAGCCACCCCCATGGCTTCACCCCATTGGTCTGTCCATGCGAGCGTTCTGGCTGATTATGAAGATAGAAGGTCTTCTCCTCCGTTGTTTTATAAATTTCACTTGAGGGCCCCGGCTTCACGTGGAGGACGAGGGCACACTGCCTTGGCCCCCCAGGGGCACTGCACCGATGGAACCCAAGACAGCAGCACAGGTCACTGGACAAGCTCTCACGGAACATCACAAGGCTCAGGACCCGGACGATGTTTTCATTTGTCAAGGTTCCCGAAGCTAATGTGAGAATAATTGTTACTCGGTATTCATTGCTATAATTATCATCCCCGGGTGGCTAGTTTGTTATTTCAGCCGATAGATTTGAGAGACAAAGTGTTGTGCTGTGATTGTCCTGACAGGAGGTGTAAAAATAAATAAATAAATAAATAAATAAATAAATAAATAAATACAAATAAAAAAAGAGTAGGGGGCAAAGAATTGTCTGGAGGGGAGGAGAGGAAGCACTGAACTCTGGCCTTTGGCTCAGGAATCTGTCGGCGAAACCAGTTCTGATTTCTTTTGCCCCAAATCGTTTGCTCAAAGGTAATGAATGCGGTGGCAATTCTCAGTTTGTGTCCTGCTATAAATATCTATTTATTTATCCCCTGCTATGAGCACTTGGCTCTGGGTCCAAGCCGCATACTGCTACGTTTCCGGCCCTGACAAGAGAGCCCGTTTCGGTCCCCAGACTCGGGGTCTGTGCTGGGGTATCCAGAAGCAAAACCTGAGGCTTCCAGAACGTTGAAGAGATGCTTATTTGGGTATATGGGGCACAGATGCCCGAAGCTTCAGGCCGCCTCAGCCCAGGCACCCACACACCTTCTGCCAGCATCCGCACTCCGCTGATGTGGGGGTGGCAGGTTGACAAAGACTGAGAAGAGAGAAGAGGCTGGGGGGGGGGTGGGCGTGGGGCACACGGTGACGGCCAGCTGAGACAGGAGGACCTAGCCTTCCAGACAGCAGTTGGTGAGATGAGTCCAGCTGGGTGTGGGTGATGGGCTAAGCTAAGCATCTTCTTAGCCCAGATGCTCCAGTCCGTGGCTCCGGTCCTATCCTTGGCTTCTTCTGACCCGTGGGTAAGACGGGTTCCTCTCATGGATGGATCTGGAAGGTAGGAAGCTCCAGGCAGCTCACACCTGGGCCCGATGGAGGGATCGGCCCAGGAGTAAACGGATATGAGTTTAAAGAAGGGAGTGTGTTCTCACTCACCCTTCCCCAGGAGCGCCTTGGGCTGGTTGGAGTGGAGGTTCTTGGCCTTAATGAGCACGACCAGGAGGCGGTTGGCAGCTGGGAGATAGCTGATGGATAGAAGGACCTCTCCAGTTCCTGCAGATGGTTCCTGAAACAGAAGAGAGGATACAGGAGGGGAACCCATCAACTAAATGCTCAGCCTGGGGTCACACTGGACCTGTATCCAATAGGCATCCTAGAAACCATGTACCCATCGAGGCTGCTTTCTTACAGAGGGAGGAGGGCACCGAGGAATTCTAAGTCGCGTGTGCCTCCATAAGAATTTTTCAGTTGCCGCAAATTGTGATTTTCCAAATTATCATATGTTCAAACCCAACTTCTAAAACACATCAAAGAGATGCCACTTCGGATGTGGCAGGAGCAGAGGGTCAGGACCCCTTCTCAGCCTTCGCCATCCCCCACAAGCTCTTGGGGTATCTTTATAGAACACTAGGGTTCTCGGGGACGCAGTTTGAGAACTGCTGCATCGACCCGTCAGGTTCCTGCGGCAGTGGGGAGTTGCGATTCCTTACTCTGTTTGAAAAGATAATTCCTTCCAGCCCCTGGAGGGCTGAGAGTCAATAATATGATGTACGAATGCGGAGCAGGGCCTTGCCTGGTCAACAGAACAGCCAACTGTGTCAACAAAAAAGCCGGGCATGCGATGTTAGGAGGGGCACCAGAGACCTCCGGCAATAACCTTGCTTTGCAGGAGGTGCTGACGCCCCCTGTCAAACAGCCAGCACGCCTTTCCTCCGTCTGTGGCTCTACAGAGTGTCTCCGCTGAAATTCCTACAAGAATCTGTTTGGAATTTCAACAAATCAACTGAGGGACAAAAATGACCCAAAAAAGGCCCCCACAGGAGGCAGACAGACGCGTGCCATGGTCAAAAGGTGGCGTGACAGATTTCAGCACCAGACCATCCGGGGCTGAGCACCATTTACTAGCTGGGTGCCCTCCAGTCCATCATTTCACTCCCCACACCTCTGTTTCCTCATCTGTGGAATGGGAACCGTTGGCTGGGGTTATCGCCACCGGTCATCCAGGAAGGACAGCCACCACTTTTTGAGATTGTGAAGCAGGCATATTGTTTCTGGACGAAGAGGAGACAGTTTGGGCTTTGGGAGTGAGGCTGGAGGAGGCTGGCTGGGCCCTCTGCCCCCGTCACCCCTTTCCTCCGGGAAAAATGTCTTTGACGTGACTGCATCGATTCCACCAGCCCTAAGTAACCAGTCACACGACAGAATGATTTGGGAGCTGCCAGGAACGTTGGCAATGACATGAGTAACCGCAGCGAGGACTAATTAAACACTTATTATGGGCGAGGCGCGATTACGTTATCTATCCCACTAGGATGCAAGGTCCGTAAAGCGGCTCCCAGGACCCGGCCTACGGTTGACACACTGTCAACTATTTGTGAGTGCAAGAAGTAAGAGAGAGGGTTCATTTTCAGAAATGCCAGATGAAAGCTGTGCCGTCTCGTTAACAGTAGGTCTACAACCTATTGGAAATATGTATGAACCCCAGCCCCCCACAGTGGAGCCCCAAACGCTTAGACACTTCACTTCCTGGTTCTTCTTCCCCTCTCCGTGTCTCGGGCTTATTTTCGCGGGCTTTGCGATGAGCGTGTGCCAAAGAACAAAGGGAGGAGGGACTGAGAGTCTCTGCGTCACCTCAGGGAATGTACATCTGCTCCAATGAGACTGATTTTTGCCTTACATGGGCATAGATGTCGTCTGAGTGAGGCTGTAACCTCTGTAGTCCTCAGCCAATGAGGAACCAGGGGCGGGACTTCACGCTAGGAGATAAATCGTCTGCTGTAACTGCCCCGGGTGTGCCTGTCCCTCAGACACCCACTCTTGCAAGAACGTTGATTAAAGCCTCACTCCACTGTACTCTGAGTTTCGGTGTCCCTCCTCTGATGGGGCCGGTGGACTTATTTCTCACAGTGAGATAGAAGGGTGAGATGTCTTACTGAATCTTGACAACAGTCCTAGAGATACCAATCTTGTATCCATTAAAAAAAATTTTTTTTGTAACATTTATTCATTTTGGAGAGACAGAGAGAGACAGAGCATGAGCGGGGGAGGGGCAGAGAGAGAGGGAGACACAGAATCCGAAGCGGGCTCCAGGCTCCGAGCTGTCGGCGCAGAGCCCGACGTGGGGCTCGAACCCACGAACTGCGAGATCGTGACCTGAGCCGAAGTCGGACGCTCAACCGACTGAGCCACCCAGGCGAATCTTGTCCCCATTTTAAGCATAAGATCTTGATGCTTCAGAGAGCACGTCCCCACCTGAGGTCATGTAGCCAAAGTAAGAGAAGTAGCAAAACTGAGGTCTGGTCTGATACCGAAGACCAGGTCCTAAGCCAGGGCTCTTCAGACCTCTTGTTCCACAGCGAAGGAGCCGGGCCCAGGGACTTGTCCGGGCACCCAGAGGGGCAGCAACAGACTAGGGTGGACCACAGCCTCCCGATTCAAGGCTGCTTCTTGGAGGCCCATGGGTGACCTGTGCTGTAGCCACAGGATGATCCGGCTTAAACATCCTGCTCCCCTTGGACCAGGCAAGAGGAGCTTGGTCCCATCAGCTCATGAAGGGCTCGTCACCTTTGTATAGGGTGCCAAGGCCCTGGATGAGCCCGGCCGGCTGCACCCCAGCCAGACAATTTTAGCAGCACCTGCCAGCTCAACTCTGCGGCTCCAAGTACCTGCTGACAAAAATAACCTTCTTCACCCACACCCTGCCCCCCATCTTTCTCTTGGGCTCTCAGCGAATCATTCGAGATGCCCTCGGAGTGGGTTGCTCTATGATCCCTGATGACGCACACGCCACATTCGGGCTGAATGTCTTCCGGCAAGAACTGGCTGGCCCCTCCGTTAACCCGTTCTAGCCCACAGAGGAGCGAAGCAGCCGCTGAAGGCTCTGCCCGCCTTGTTCACGTCAGCGCACACCCTCGAGCTGGGGCCAGGGCCACCCTCACCTGCCGCGGGGCGCCAGCTCCTAGGTCGGACGGCATGCTGCAGTCATTGTTCACGTGTGTGGAAGCAGGCCAGGGGGCCACGAGGATGTGACAGTGTCCTTGAGGCACAGTGGCCCCTCTGAGCATGATGAGGATTAGAATGCGTGCACTGTGAGGGCAGGGCCTGGTCCTAATTTCTGCTGTGTCCCCAGCTCCTGGCGCTGTGCCTGGCACAGGCTGGAAACCGGGCAGGGTGTTTGTGGGATGAATGAACGTGTCTTGCTCTGCTAGGGGGAAGGCTAGAAGGTCTGAGACTTCCAGAGAGATAGGCTCCCTCGGCCCTGGCGGCACCGAAGTCTCCAAAGCCCTAGGGGAGCCCCTCCACCTCCAGAGAAAGCTGCTCTACCAGCCGAATAAACCAAAGTGTGCGATCTTCTTCCCAGGCCCCCCGGGCTGTGATTCCGCACAAATCCCAAACCACGCGCTAATTAGGGACTGTGCTTCAGAACAGCCTGGTTCCAGCTGAGAGTGGCTGCAAATTTTTGTCCATTTTCTGAGGCTGGGAAAGAAAGAAAAATAAGGCAAGGAAGAGATTATAGCAAAAAGGGAGGCAGGTGGGGACTGAAGGCGTCCGTCAGGGAAGGCTCTAGCTGATGGAGCCTCATACACCATCGGGCACTCAGACAGCATTTACATGGCACAGTGGTGAGGGGACAGCACAGGACTCACAGCCAGACCAACCCGGTCCCGAGGTCCCGCTTGTAATGTCCCAGCTGGGTGACCCTGTAAGGGTCACCCAGCTACTCTAAGCCCCAGGCTCCACGTCTGTAAATGAGTCACAGTGTCACCTTTACCAGGCTGCTCCGGGAAAGAACTGGGATAGAGTTCCAAGCAGAGCAGCCGATAGATAAGTACCCCCAAATGAATGCGCTTTGTTAGTATTTTATCACTCTAGCATGGGAGTCAGCAAACTTCTGTAAAGTCAGGTAGTAAATACTTAGGACTCTGTAGGCCACCCAGTCTCCCCGAGAAGGCACCGGCCAGCAGGTTGAGACTGGTCTTCTAGAAGGTTCTCTCTAGGCTCCACTGTGGCAGCCCTTGGATAAGGCCTTGACCCCAGAGCCTAAATAATCACACACCGTCCTACAGCCCTGATGTCTCCGACCCCTCGCTGCCCTGACCTGGGAGGATCGAGAGACCCCTCTCTGAGCAGTGCAGCCTTTCAGCAGACCTTCCTCTCACACCCTCGGCTCCCCTGACAGCAGAGGGCTGGGGAGAACCATGCCAGGGCTGGTGACAACAGAGAGCACCGGGCTCTGGGGCTGTCCCTAGCCCAGTCCATCCTCCAAATCCCAGTACAAATGCCATTTCGCACCAGGCCTTCTAGAACTCTCCATCAGAGTTAGGTTAGGCCTTTCTTCCATGTCTTAGGATTCAATGCATGTCCAATATCATCGTTGTCCTTGTCAATGTCACTCGTCTGCTCCAGTTTATGCCTCTGGCCTGTAAGTTCTAGGTAGAAGGATTCCACACGGTGCTCATCTCCCCAGCAGTGCCTGGCACACAGCAGGGACACAGGGAATATACGTGAATATAAATGGGGCCATTACTGGGGCGCCTGGAGGGCTCAGTTGGTTGAGCATCTGCCTCCTGATTTCAGCTCAGGTCACGATCTCACGGTCATGAGATCGAGTCCCATGTCGGGCTCCATGCTGGGTGTGGAGCCTGCTTTGGATTCTCTCTCTCTCCCCCCTCTGCTCCTCCCCCACTTACTCTCCCCCCTCCCCCCGAGCATCAGAGCCAAATCACACATAATGTGTTTTCCATGATGGCAGGGGGATCTTACATGGCAAGCTAGAAGCAAAACCAGACTCCAGAAATTCCATAGGCTGGGCTGAGTCCACTCCAGCCCTCCACCCTGTTCACGACACCGAGCGTCCTCTCACACACGCACACGCACACGCACACGCACACCCGGGGAAGGTCCGCTTGTTTCGAGAGCCCTGGCCCAGTCCTGCCGCCGCATGCTCCCCTAACAGGCTTCAACTTTCCTGGTGCGAGGTCACCCTACCTTAACTGAAGTCTTCAGCTCACCCCACTGGGCGGCCCCCAGAGGCACAGACACCCCGTCCAGGCCCAGGCGGAGCTCCCCGACCACGCTGTGGCGGGAGAAGCGGTCGCAGGTCCGCAGGGTCAGCAGCAGGGTGGCTGTGGGGAGCTCTTCCTCCGCCAGGGGGAGCGCCAGGCCTTCCTCCCACATGGTGTGCAGCTGCCGCTTCTTCAGGGCCGTCTGGGCCTCTGCGGTGCCCGTCCTGTTGGCCACGCTGCCTTGGACATAGCAGTCACAGCCTCCATCGTGGCCACTGGTCACAGCTGCAGCCAAGGAGATAGCAACACGGACGTGGGACTTTCTCAAGGGCAAGGGTAGAGGAGAAACACAGGCCTGCTTTGAGCTGCCGCAGCCAGCTGAATGGCCATGACCTCAGGGGTACGAAAGCCCCAGGGCTGACCACCTTGGCTTTGCGGAATCCCCTTTCAGTAAGACACTCTGCAATGGGAGAGCCTCCGAGGTGGCCAATGTCAGCACACGCTGGTCTTCCCCTGGAGAACAGGGACGTGACTGGCTGCTTCCCGGAGCCCTTCCCACCTCATGACTCTGAGGTTTCCCCAAGATGCCGGGGCCCGCAAACTGCTGAGGGCTTTTATGCTCTGATACTGTAATTTTTAAATTTTTTTTTAACTTTTATCTTATTTTTGAGGCAGAGTGCAAGTGCGGGAGGGGCAGAGAGAGAGGGAGCCACAGAATGGCCCATTGTCAGCCCCAACTCCTTTGCAAAGTCTTAGCTCTGTTTGCTGATGGCAAAATTGTTGGGGCAGAGAAACCAGGGGCATCCTGACCCCTTGGACCAGTTCTTGGATTATAGAAATTTTGCTGACCATTCAGAACACCCTCTTTATCCCCCACAAAGCCCCGTTCAATGTCAAAGGCACCTGTGGCAGAGACAGCTAGCTGTTCACCAAAAACCCGTTTCCTCTTTTTGCTGAGCACCTGCTAAGCCACATTTCCCATGCTCCTTTGCATTCAGTGGCCATGTGACTGGGTTACAGCCAATGGGGTCTGAGCAGGAGTGATGCATGTTCTGTGTGGTCATGGCTTTTAAGGGGTGGTTGTGCTCCCTCCCTCTTCTCCCTCTCTCTCCACCTGCTAGATACAGATGACAAGGGGGCCTGAGAGGATAACGGGGACCCTGATGGAAGGAACCTGGTCCCTGAATCACCATTTGGAGGAAAGAGGTTTGAATCACCATTTGGAAGAGAAAGAGGCCAACCAGGATTCTCCACTTTGAATGTTATATGGGAGGGGAGTGGATTCCGCCCCCCACCCCCCACCACACACACACTTCAGGGTCCGTTCTTTACCGAGTGCTAATCCAGCACTGAGTGCTCCCTCCAGCCTCAGGTGCTCCCATTCCTCCTATACAGCTCCTCCAGGGGAGACGCACCCACGGAAGCCCATGAAAGTCAAATACAAGTAATACCTTCCAGGCGAGTCACAAACAGTTCCGCCTTCTGCTGGTCATAGTCCAAGCGGTAGTGGAGTTTGGGGGCTTGGTTCCAACTGGCGGCCTTCTCCGGGTTCCAGGCCTCTATGACACACACATCCTCTACCACACCTGTCCAGAGAGGTAAGGCCGTCACTGCCACCCGCACTATGGTCCTTGTTTTTCTAGATCCTCTCTTTCCCATGTGCTACCCATGCCACGAATGGAAACCAAAAGCGCTCTAGCCGGGGGCCAAGTCATGGTGGCCACCCCAGGGTGACACCTGCGGTCCTGGGATTACATGTTAAGGGACCATCACAGCCCAGTGCTCAAGACATGGCCTTTGGTGTCACACAGGAGCTGCCACTTAAGAGTTATGTGACCTTGGACAAGCTACTTGACTTCTTCGAACCTCAGTTTCCTCATCTTTGTAATGGGAATGATAACAGTGTCTCCTTCCTAGAGTTACTTGCATTAAATGATTCAGAAGTTCCCCCCAAACCACAAATATCGCTCACTCTGCCCCTCATTGGAACAGGAGTCAAACATCTGGAAGATTCTCGTTAGTCAAACATAATACGAGAATTAAAGGATCCAGCAGCTGTAGCCGACTCCACTTCGAGCAAATTGGAACTGAAAAAGTTTTGATTCTCAGAACAACTTTAGAGGGTAGAAATTTAAAGGCCTATTTAATTTCCAAAATGGCTTGTTGTGGGGTTCCTGCGCGTGGGGAAAAATTCCTCTGGTGCGTGTAAGTAAGGAACAGACTGACCACGATGTGAGCAATGCGTAAATCGAGACCGTCCTGAACACAGGACTCAGGTGGCTCCCAGGGGCACCACAGAGATGATCACAGCAGGGTCAGTGCCAGAAGGGTCCTGCCTGGCACCCACAGCTCTCCCCTCTCAGGCTACCCTCAGCCTTCGAATTCAAAACCAAATCAAAGCCAGACCAAAGCTGGCACGGCTTGGCAATGCAAGAATAGATTCTGCTTCCAGAAACAGAATTCTGAGCTCCCCGGGGGGCTGAGGATCATCACTGGTGGGAGCAGGACACGTTGGCCATCACGGGAACAGTGTCCGATGAATTTGGCATCCTCGTCGCCTGCACTCCCTTGCCTCTGGTCAATATTTGCTGAAGAATCAACTCCTGATAGATGTCTATGGAACCAGCGTTCTGGGGGGGTGGGGAACAATGACGAACGATGGCAAAGAGAAGACAAACTAATGTGTTCCGAATTCTTTAAAGTTCCAGGCTCTGACACACTGCCCTGTTCTTCCTGGTGGGCAGCATCCAATCCTGGCTCCCCCCGAGCTTTGGGAAACCTGGGGTTCCCGAGAAAGGGGAGCCCTCTTGTGATTATGATTACTACCCCCAACGCTCCACGTGCAAGCTCTTCCTCACCCTCGGATCTTAAGCTGTCGGGTCCTCAGTGGGTCTATTTGACATCTTTTTAAAATGCGGGGCTAAGACCTGGGCAGATGCGTTCCTGCCACAGGCACCTTGCAAATTGTTCTTGAAGAAACGCCAGGCTAATCGCTGTGGTTCTGGGTGGGGGGCGGGGGCACCGGCTCACCGGCCAGCATGCGCTCCAGTTGGACCCAGGCCAGGAGATGCGTAAAAATTGGGGTCAACGTCGGAGCCAGTTACGCTGCCTCCCCTTGTCCCGTCTGCCTCTCCGACCACACAAATAAAACCCCAGACCACACAAGAATCCGTTCTCCTGGATGTGTTTCTTGCCTCCTTAGGACAGCCTGCACGCTCTTTGGGGTAGGGGCTGTGCCTGCTTCGCGTATCTGCCCCAGCGCCCAGCACGGCCCTGTACCGCGAAAGGTTGCTGCATCTCGAAGTGGACGCTGATGAGAAGCAGGATAGAAACAACAGTGATAACAACACGCTTTGGTTACACCTTTGCTGCCACGCCCTGGGCTAAGCACTTTATATGCATTATTTTATTTACACTTTGCAACAGCCCTCCCGGGAAGACAACAGCAGAATCCCATTTCCGGTACGAGGAAACTGAGGTCCGGAGAGGTTAGCCACATGACCAAGGCCCCACGAGGAGTACGTCAAAGGGCAGAGAATTGGCCCCGGGACTCTGGAAGCCCACGCTTCAATCATGGCCCCTCCACGTGAGTTGAAAAGGACTCTCCACTCCCCAGTCGGAAGCTGGAGGCCTCAGAGAGAAGCCGGGTAGCAATAGGTCCACAGGAATAAAGGACTGTAATTCCCAGGCCCTGTGCCCCCGTGCTTGCCCAGCGTCAAATGCTGGGGCTGGCCATGAGACGCCGTGAGCCCCCCTGAGTACTGCCCGTGGAAGAACGAGGGGCAGGAGACCCCTACCATTCTGAGGAAGGATGAACAGTTCCTCTGTGACCTGCCTCTTGAGGCGGCTGTCATTCGGGGCCTGGGGGCTGGCAGGTGCAACAGGTTCCTCCGTGGTCCTCAGGGTATAGTCCGCATAGTTGATGACCTCCGGGGCTGTCACAGCCGGCCTGGGTCCGTAGATGTCTGGCAACTTGAGGAGGGCTCGGGGCTGGACGGGCTCCGTGGACTTTTTAACATTGAACTGCAAACACACGTCACTCTGATTAGTCCACGAGAAGACCTCCCGCCTGTTTTCTACCCACAGAAAGGAGAAGCCATGACCCGCCCTTTCACGGGAGGCAGAGGGAGGGCTGGGGTCCCTTTATGCTCCGAGAGGCACCACCCAAGCAGCCAGAATGTCACTTTCAAACACAGCAGAATCCACAACACTGCGGCTGCGATGACATCTGGGCCCTGTTCATCCTCCCCCTTCCTCCCCCTGTCCAGTGGTCTTCTGCTGTGTCCCCTGGGGTTATCCAGGCCCATCACCTGTGCCACCTGCTTCTTGTTCTCTCACCGCCCCTCCCCCCCCCTCAAGAGACCTACAAGCACTTGCCCAACCCAGCCCTACTCACCTTTCTGACATTGTTCTAGAATCTTCCCTTTGCACGGCTCCCGTCACTGGGCTCCCTGCTTCTCAAACAGGGCTGAACTCTTTCTGAGTCTGATTTCTGGACCCCAACCCCTCCCCCCAAACCACCCCCCACCTCCACCTGCTGTAAATTAAGTCCCTCCCCCAAGCCTGTCCCTCCCTTTCACCACATCCTGCTCTTTGCTTTATAGCTTTGAGCTCGCCCCTATATTGTTATTTTTTTTTCATAGGTTGGCCTGTTTGTGTCCAGTCTTGTGTGAGCTCCATAAGCACAGGGATTATGTCTTATCTTGCTCCTTCTGTATCCATGGTGCCTGCACAGCGTCTGCTCACAGGGAGGATGCAATATAAACCCGTGGCTAGGGCTGCCATGTTCAGTTGTATGGTTTGTGCACTGCACAAAGGAGCCCCGATGAGGGGCAAGTGAGGGTTGAAATGCAGTGTGTGCACCACATGCCCAGCTGTGTGCCCTGAGGTAGGGTCTTAGTCCACCTGGAGGAAAGGGCATCTTTTTCTCTACACAAAGGCCTGCTTGCTTGTGAAGCTTTAAGTATGCAGGGCTGCGTCACACAGACCAGTGGAATCTTCTGTCTTTCCCTCCACTAGGGACTGAGATCTCTTCTACCTAAGGGATTCCAACTCATATACCAGGCAGCAATATCAGGGGTCTGCCTAGTCCCCCGGAAGTCAGGGACTGATGGCCAGACCTAGAACTCAAAATGCTGGGTGGGTAGCCCATAAAATAACCCTCAAATTGGGGCAGGTGCAGACCCACAATAGAGTCCCCCAAGCAGCCTCCTGCCCTCCTCGCTGGCCCTGCTGTCTCTCCCTTCTCTGTGGCTGCTGGAGGGGCTGGCCAGGGGTCAAGGCTGCTCTGTGACCCAGGGACTGGGGAGTGTCGGGCAGGGGTGGCAGTGGGGGTGATGCAGTCCTGGAGGGGGGACAGCACTCAGAAGTTCACGTGGTTTCCAAGTGCGTGTTTAGAGTGTTTGCACAGTCTACGTTTCACTCTCCCGGGATAAATCCCGGACATTCTGCTCTCCTTGACCCTCTGTCTCCGACCGTCCCCGAGGGAGGCTGGACCTCGGTGACCTTAATTATCCAGGAATGCACTGGGGCTCAAAGGGGCCACAGGCGGCCGCCGTGCAGGTGGCCTGCTGCTGCTTTACCTCCTCTTCTTCTCAAGTCCCTAAAGGGCTTAGAGGGGATAAAACACTTCCTTCCTCTCTCGGAAACACCGCCCAGCAGACTGCAGCGCAACCGAGACTGTCCCGGTCTCTGCTGAGTGTGCCCGGCTCGCACAGGCTGGAAAAGCACTTCTGACTTAAATGGAACACAGCCGCCCAGGAGCAGACAGCGGGGTGGCTGCACACTTACATCTAGATCGGCCTGACCCCAAAGCCCGCTGCCACCGTGGCTCCCGACGCCCTTCCCACCTTCAAGCCTTTGCCTGGCACAACACCCACTCATCAGAAACGTTTGTCACCGCTACGCACAGCAACCACCCGCAGAGGGACCTGTGCGATTTGCACACTCAGGTCCCCTCTGCGCCCTCACTCCATCGACGGTGTCCCCGGGCATCGAGGGACCTGGCCTCTAATACTGACCGTGCCACCGGAGCTGAGCAACTTTTGGCAGGTCATTGCACCTCTCTGAGTGTGTCACCTCAAGTGACACGTGATTTTCAAGGCTTGCTCCACTCCTGCATTCTGAGCTACAGAGAGGTGAGAGACACAGCTCTTTATCTGCAGGTACAGGGGAGCTGGGGAGTCAATCACACGCCGGAGAGTAAACAGCAGGCATATTTGGCAGTTTGGGGCCGCAGTACAGAAGCAGGCATCGGGCAGTCTGTATGAACAGCCCTGGGGGGAGAGCGGATGGTGTGTGCAGGGGGCAAGCAGGAGTCTGGGAGGGCCTCGGGGAGGGGCCAGGGCGTGAGCCAGACCTTGAAGGAGGGGTGGATGAGAAAGCGGGGCAGCGAGCTGGGGGAGGAAGGCTGTGCCCCTGACTGGAGCCCGGGGCCCCCAACGGACACACACATAGACAGGAATGACATGTCTCCACGTCTTTTTATCCTCCACAAAGTGGTGCCCACCTCCGATATTTCACCCAAGCCCGAGTTACAATTATTACACTATCGGGGCGCCTGCGTGGCTCAGGGCGTTAAGTGTCTGACCCTTGATTTCGGCTCAGGTCTTGATCTCATGGTTCATGAGATCGAGCCCCACGTCGGGCTCTGCACTGACAGCGTGGAGC